CTGACAGGAGAAAGACAGTGGGAGGTGCCTTGGATCAATAGCTTCAGCTATAAATACCTGAAGCCCAAGTTATGGAGTCCCTTTGTTTCCCCTTCACTTTTCCCTTTGCCATTCTCTCTGTTCCTGCTACCACCCCATGATCTTCAATAAATGTAATTACTTACTACGTACTACAAGGTGTTTGCTTGGCGATTTTTTCCATTTGGTACACAAGAGCCTGAACTATTTTGGGTCCATTCACTGGTGAGTCGAGCCAGGAGGACTCCACTTAACCTTGGGAGACCTCACCAGGCACTGGAGGCATCAGTAACCTGCAGACCTTTGGGGACCTTGGCAAAAGTGGGCAACCAGAGAATCCAGCCAACAAGGAAGTAATCTCCCCACTCCCACTCCACAAGCAGACCCTGCCTTCCCTTCTGGGCAGAAAAATGAATTTCTGGGAGGAGAGATAAACCATTTACCATGTGGAGAAGGCTAGATTGTGGGACAGAAGGCTTCTGTTCTTATTGGAGGACAAGAGGGACCCTGCCAATCAGCTGGACTTACATTCTGTTCACCTACAAAATGTGGAAATTCTAACCATCAAGGGGGCGGCAGGCACTGATGGTACAGTCCCTGTGGTAGTTCCCTTTTCAGTTAAGACATTCATTCAACAGTGCTGGGAGAAATTGGATAAGTTCTCTGGGAATCCTGAAAAGTTTGCCAATGATTCCAAAGCCTAATGATGGCTTTTCCCCTGACCTGGCTAGGTGTCTAATTCATCCTCGCTTGTTGCACAGCAGTAGAAAGGAAAAGGGGCATAAAGGCCAGGGAACACTTACTATCCTGATGAGAGAGGGTATGCTAGGCTGAAGGGGATGCTGGCAAGTACCCTGTAGCAAAGAGCTAACTGGCCCTCAGATCACTAGTGCTGAAGCTGAGAACCCAGGGTTAAGAGTATGTATAGCAAACTGTTAGCAATTATCCCTCCCATTAATAGGGGGATTGCAGGCCTGTTCACGGGGGCTCTTTCAAATGTTTTTAGATGGCACTTATTATTTTCCATACTTAAATTAATTTTTTTTCATTTCTTCCTTTTTTTTTTTTTTTTAAATAGGGTTCATGCTGCCCTTGAACTCACTATGTAGCCCAGGCTGGCCCTGAATTTGCAGTAATCTTTCTGCCTCAGCCATCCGAGTGCTAGGAGTACAGGGGTGTGCCACCATGTCTGGCATAAATTTCTTTTTAAATACTAGGCAATTAAATCCCTCAGTTAACTTCCATCCTCCCCCCATAAAATATGAAAAATGAAAGGTTTTTTGAAAATCTGAATTTTCTTTTCATTCCAGCCCATATATCTGCTGGTTTCTTGATGCAGCCTTGCAGAATGTTTATGCATATGAAAAATATATAAATTCTTTTTTGAAAAGTATATGAATTCTTCACCTCTCTTTTCTGAAATAAGGCAGAGCTGGGTATACTGGCACACACCTGGGATCCCAATACTTGGGAGACTGAGACAGGAGGATTGCTGTGAGTTCAAGTCAGGCTGAGTTACAAACTGAGACCTCATCTTAAGAAGCAAAAAACAAAAGAAAAGAAAAGAAAAGAAAAGATGAAGTAAGGCAGCATACTGTATTTTGTTTAACACTTTTCCCCTGCAGTCCACTATATGCCTTACACTTTTATAGTTTGTCACACTGATTTACAATGTGTCTTCTTTTGAAATTAAAATGATGGAGAAACATTGAGCCTTAGGTGAGAGGGATCACTCCCTGAAGGAAGCTTCTGGGTTTCATTCACAAAGATGTCAGGCTCACTTCCAGCAGTTGAGAAGCTAGCGAGGAATTTAAGGATTGAGACAAAAATAGCTAGTGCAGGCAAAGAAATCTAACCCAGTAGATTATGAATCCGCCCTCTCAGGACTAGTTATTTCTGTACTTTTAGACATAAGTGCATCCCACTGGCTGGGCAGACAGATTTCTCTACAGCACTCAGGGGTCCTCAGCCCCACGCAGAACTGAAACACTGCCTACAACTGACATGTGGCTTTGACTTCAGACATCCCCATCACAGCCCCAGAAAAAGCGGAGCACCCATAAACTGTGCAGGACTGTGGGTGCATGAAATGTATGTTATGTAGGAATGCTGATTTTGTCATCCTTTTTATGCAGCAGTGCACAACTAACGGTTGTGAAATCTCACAACTTTTGACAGTAACTCAGAGCCAAAATAGCCACTGATAGCCGGGTTCTACCTAAAGCATGTTTTCATTGGATTATTTATTTATTTGGTACTGGGGATTGAACTGAGGACCTTGTGCTTGCCAGGCAGGCCCTTATGCTGCTGAACTATCTCCCCAGCCCTCACTGGATTATTTAAAACCTGGAACGTAGTGATTTTCATAGACTAACAGAGAACTCAAAGTTCCATATGAATCCTGTCATCTCTGACATCTTCTAGGTCTGTCCCCAGTTCTCTAGTACTATAGAGAGCCCTTCCCAATCCCCCTTAAGGCCCAGGAAGTTTTTATTTGTAATTTTACTGAAAGTTATTGGAATTCAGCGGGTTGGTTGCATATGTGTAGTTATGGGGAGCCAATGGGTCCTAAGTCCAGTCATGAGGATGACTATGCTCCATGACCCAGGGCCAAACCCAGGTTTTATTAATTTGTGAAGAAGGGAGTGACTTGAGGGTGAGTGATTGTAAGGATGGTGGGAAGCAAGTGAGCTGGGCTAGGTAGGAAGCCTGAAATCACCTCTGCAACATGCAGAGAAAAGAGTATGCACAAAGACACAACTGAGGTGGTATCCGATGTTTTAGCGTTGGTGCTTCAGCTCTGAAGTGTAATCTTTCAAGCCTCAGAAAGTCATTTCTTCTATCTGCAGGCTGATCCCAGCTGATAGCTAGAGAACTGGCTCTTCATCTCCCCTCATTCCAGCTCACTCAAGGGAACAATGAACCGCTGCAGGTCAGGGAACCACACCCACTATCTTCAAAGACTACCATCAGCACCTCAACTGGACCAATATTCATTGCTTAAAGCCAATTGGAAGGAGAAGGAAAGTCTTAGCCAGCTCTGCAATGTCAATACATGGAAATAGGGTTAAGCTCAGTCAAAGCAAAGACACAATCACGCCAAGGAGAGTCTCTCAGGTGGTCCTCTGTGTTGTATCAACAACAAAAATCCAGAAAGTCATAAAAAGAAAAATACAACAAAACAGCAAAGTGCCTCTGGGGAATGGAGCTTCTGTTAACTTCCCAGAAATCTCCTAGAATGTGGACTGAAAGCATTTTGAGATGAGTCATGAGAGTCAACTGATGCAAGCGCCCAGGGCCAAGGGTGTCACAATTTCAGGAATGGATGTCATTAGATTAAGACTTCTCACAAGGACCTGCTACACTGTCACATTGAAGGGACCTCCTTTAGTTCAGGTTTATTCTCTCTCTCTCTCTCTCTCCCTCCTTCCCTCCCTCCCTCCCTCCTCTTCTCTTTTTCTTCTTTTCCTTCAAACTTTTTAAAGAACATAGATCTCCAGTTTGATGTTTAGTGGTACTGATAAAATGATAACAGTGATCATTATTACTTTATTTTTAAGAGGCTACTTAGCACATTTTTAAAATCAGATTTTATTGGTTCATCTTAGATGTACATAATATTCACATTCAGCAGAGAACATGTACCTCTACACAATGCAACTTGTTTTTTCTTTTCCCATTCCACTCACCTCCCTTCAACCCTTCTTCCCCTTCAATTTACAAAACCTTTTTTTCATGTTTTCCTTCTTTTCTCTTTTTTATTTTTCCCTTCTTTGATTCCCCCTTGAACATTTTCTTCTTGTTCCACAGGTACTTGTTATACACTGATCATGATTACTTTCTGATTTACTATCCCATGCTAGGCCTAGTGCTAAGTGGCTGACATGGATTGCCTCAGAAAACATCTTCCAGAAGGATTATGCCCAATAGTAATCACGACTTACCTTTTCACAGAGAGGAAGCTGGGGCTTCCATGCACAAACAGCCATGCAGAAGGGGAACAGAAACTAGATAACGAAGTATGGTCCACAAGCTATTTGGCAAAGTCAAAATTGACTGTCTTATCACAAAGCAGGAAAACTCTTGGAAGCTGGTTTCTGGTTTCCTGTGAGCCGCCCCCTGCCTGCCTTTTCCCTCTGCTGATTTTCCTGTAATAAGCAGTTACGTAAGGGTTGGGGTATCGCTCAGTGCCTCTGCAGTCAACTGTGAGCGGACTCTGTTCAGGAGGCTCTGGGCTCAGTGCCCAGTGCCACCACCACCACACACCCCTATAAAGATGTACATAACAATTTCTCTGTCTAATGCATCCTGGAAGCTAAGAACAGTCTCTGGGGCACAGAATTCCACTCTTAGTTATATATCCCAAGGAACCAAAAACAAAAGCAGACACTTATAGAGGGCTAAGTGCAGCATGATTCATGATAGCACAAAGGTGGAAACATCCCAGGTGCCCATCAGTGGCTGAATCAATGACCAAAGCATGGAATATCCGTACAGTAGAATATTTGTCAACCAAAAAGCAGGAATGGAGTTCTGACCCATGTGACAACATGGACAAACCTGAAGCTGTTTTGTTAAATGAAACATTATTTATATGTCAAAATACAATAAGCGAACTTATACAGATGTAAAGAGTAAAACAGGGCTGAGATTGGGGAGAGGAAGAATGGGGAATTATTAGCTAACACGGTGATGAAAAATTATAGAAATAAGGGTGATGGTTGAACAAAATCGTGAAGGTAATTAATATCGCTGAGTTGTATACTTAAAAATATGCCAGTCAAGGTGAAGCACACCTGTAATTGCTACACTCAAGAGGTTGAGGCAGGAGGATTTGGAGGCTAGCCTGGGCTACACAGTAAGTTCAAGGTTGGCTTGGTAGAAACAGTGAGTTCAAGGCCAGAATGGGCTCCATAATAAGACTATCTAAAAAAACAGAAAACAAGAGGAGAGCTCTAGTTCCTACACCGCTACCAACTTACCTCCCTTATTTTTTGTTCATTGTCACGTTAACTCTGTAGATGTTAAATTTGCTGCTAGCAATTTGAATAAACCTGCATTGAAGGTTTAGAAAAGAATCGAGAATGAAAGAGAATTTTTACTTTTTTTGTTTTAAATGGCTCTGTTTGGATTGGGCTCTTGTCCAAATACAAGTGGCTAATGGATTTGGATAGATGATAAAAGCTAATATAAAAGTCTTCCGTGCTTGTAGTTCCAGAAATATCAGAGCAATTACCCTAAGTAAGAAAGTGCCACAACAAAACCTCAAGCCTCCTTGCATTTTGCTACTGCTGCTTTTTCCCCATGAAAACCAAAAAGCACAGCCTTCCAATATTAAAAACGAAGCTTCCATACCTGATGATTTTGGCATAATTTTTGCTTACTGAAGCCTCTAAAAGAAAAAGGGGAGCAACATAGAAAAAGAAACAGGACTTCTGTTGGAGACACACTGGGAACTGTGAAGGTTTTTAGTTACGGGTGAGCTCCAGTGAGATCAGAGGCCTGGCCTCTGGGTATGTTTCTCTGTGGGCCTCTAGGAACAACAAGCGAACCAGGGCTTGGGAAAGCCTGGCTCCTTTCTGTCTTGGAACATAGCCCTCTGGCTCTGTGGGGCTTCGGCTTTGTGTCTATTCAGAGTCTAATTCAGAGTCTAACTGACTGGCTCTGACTCAGGCCTAGAACCTGACACTGCGTGCCGCCGCCGGCTATTTCAGCCTCAGCACAATCTGTGCCCGACTAATTGTCAGTAAAGCTTGGATAAGCACAACCCTGACCTCAGTACTGCTGCAGACTTGGACGTGCCTGTGCGGCCCCCGACACGACAAAAGCAGCACGAAGGCTGGTGGGACCTCCCGATCCGCACTGATTTCCCCAAAACAGAGCCAATTCTCAGATGGAGACAGTTGCAACCAGACTTCTGATTCAGGCTCGTGCTTCTGACGCAGAAAGGAATTGCATTCTCACCTTGTGATTTCTGCTCCCAGCTGCAAGTTCGGGCAGGCTCCTCCCAGGCTCGTGAGCTCCCTGTGAGTTCCTGCCAACTGTTCCCTTGACCTCTCTTCGGGGCCTCCTGGCTGCTGCTGTCTGTTGATTATTATATTCAGCTTCCAGAATTAGATACAGTTTACAATGCTAGACTGTTAGTCCACTTTCTCATCTTCCTCCGGGTGAATAGGCAGTATTAGAAGAGCAAGTTGCTAACAAGAATTACAGTCATCCTTAAAAAAAGGGTTACTCGTATTCTTTCCTGTCTGCTGGCTGGATGAATCATTTAGACAAAAGACTGAGAGGCTACTTAGCACATTTTGAAATTCTTAAATGGTCAGGATCAGTTCCTGAACATGTGTCAGTTTAGCTAAGTTGCATAAAAAAGTTCTTTGTAACTATATTTGTATTCTTGCAGTCACCAATCTTCCTAATTAAATAGAGGAGGGAACAGATTGGGGAAAATGTAGCCATGAGAGCGAAAAGAACACTGTTTTTGCAGCAAACAGGAGGAAAATTTAAGTCAGAAACATCAAAAACCCCACCCGAGCAGCAGCCCTTCTCCGGATGGCACAGAGAGGAGGAAGAGCATTGTTAATGATCTTTGTTTTCCCTGAAAGCCTCTGCTTCTGCCCAAAGTAAGCTCCTCGTGCAAGCAGGCAGGCTTGCTGCGGTGTGGAGTGCTGGCGTTCAGGCCAGCTGCTGAAAGTGGATCATCGCCCCCTGGAAGTGCTGACCGCTCCTTGCCGCAGAAGCGCAGCGTCAGGCAGAAATTAGGGCAGTGAAGACAAACCCTAACCAGGAACTGTTGCAATAAGGGGAGAGAGACCATGTGACTGGGCTGTGATCCAAATACAGGACTCAGTGGCCAAGGGACAGGGAGGAGTCGCTCGATGGGAAATCACGAAGAGGAAACCCAGGGAGGGGGGCTGGGGTCGATCAGCTGACCCAGAACCCTTGAGTAAGCTGGCTAACTGCAGAGGTTAGGACCTCACCAGCTTGGTAGAGCCGGGCTGGAGTTTGATCAAGTAGAGTCTTGGTCACTGTAAACTAGAAGCAGTGGCCCCAGCCCTCACATTTTCTGTGCAAAACATCTCCAGATATCCTCTTCTCCTGAGGAGGACAATGACATGTTCCATGCAAGCAAAGTTGTTTCAAACTGCCTAGCTTCTTGCAGTCCTCCTGACATCAAAGACTCAGCCAAGAATTCCAGAACAAACTAGAAAACTCCAGGGTAGGAGGCTCCCCTGTGCAGAACCACACCTGGGCACTGTTAATGGGGCCTGCCTGCCCTGTGTCACACCTGACCATGTGTACTCACAGTTGGGTTCCCATCTGGGGTTGTACTTTTTTTTTTTTTTTCAGAACCAGGGATTGAACTCAGGTCCTCGCTCTTGCCAGAGAAGCGCTTATTCCGCTGAGCCATCTCCCCGACCCTTGGGGTTGTACTTTTTGTATGTACCCTTACTACCCTGGCATGCCTTTGGCATTGGAAGATGTTCAGATGAGCTTCAATTTTACTGGCTAGGGACTTTCTGTGCCTCAACCGATGTCTCAGGTAAATTAACCAAGCAAAGTTAGATAGGAAACCATTTGCCTTCCCAAGTCAGAGCTTGAGATCAGTTCTGAAGATTGGTCTCACTGTGCTGCATGGGGTCCTAATAACAATGATTTGTGTATAGATGGTTTGACCAAGAGCCAGTGGGATAACTGCGCTGAAAACTGTTAACTGGACTGAGATGAGCATCCTTAGAAATACCCATTGCAAAAATGCCCCTGGGAGCACCTGAGGACTTAGATTTTGCAGCGGTCCTCACCAAGGATAAGGTGCTGGATTACAGCTAAAATGTTCACAGTGTGCCTTATGCTAAATACCTGCTTTCCCCTAAGTCTTGGATTCTAGTCTGGCAGAAGTCTGGTAGGTCAAAGGTATCTCTGCAGTCAGCCCTAACTTCGACCATTGTGGAGTCAGGGTCCATGAGGAAAGACAATTTAATATAGGACACATATTTTATAGGATTATTCTATAATATTCACCCAAAGAGTCAAATGCAAAAGTGTTTAGATCTGTCCACACACTAGAGACCCAAAGAATCCAGCTAAGGCCTGGATCCCACAGCAATGTCTTGCGCGAGCCCCCCTGATGGCCTGAAGTCCACAACAATGTCTCATGCAAGTCTATATCAAGGACCTGCACTGGGAAGGCCCAAAGGTCAGTGGTGGAAGCCAGAAAGTCTGCACCAGCAGGGTGAAGGATCTGTGCCAGCAGCCTGAGGGATCTGCACTGGAGCCAGAAAGCTACGCTCAAAAGACAGACCAGAGCTCCCCTGAAGAGAACTGCAGCCATCCTTACCAGCGGCAAGGATCTGAGCTCCTCCAGTGATGAGGACAGCTGAGTTCATATCAGGAAAAGAAGCTTAACAAGCTTCTATAGGAGAATCAACAACACACCATCTTCTCCTCTACTTCTCTTTTTATGCTGTTGGGCACAGTCCTCAGATGGGCCTTCCGCATCCAGAACCGTGCTGACTCAGCTCAGCTAGGTATTACAAGTTGACCATTAGTTAATCCACCACAGCCATTAAGTCTCTAGAGAATGACCTTTATCAGCAACACTTCTGACATCCTGGAGGAATTAGAGTGAATCCACTGGGTTAGGCCTCTTAGAAGTTTGTGGGTTTATTTTATAGAGAGCCCTTTCTGGTTCTCTTCGCGGTCCAGGAAGTTTATATTTGTGATCCCATGAATAAATTATTGGAATCCCATCAAGTTAATTCCAATCTACCACACCCAGTGCAACCCACAGTGAGAATGAAGATGCTAAGGCATATTTGTAGTTATGAGGAACTAAGAGGTTCTAAGTCCAGCCACAAAGATGGCTATCTGGAACAAAGGCCTTGGCCCAAGGCCAAACTCTGATTTTATTCATTCATGAAGAAAGTGGATGAGTGACTATAAGAATGGTAGGATATAGGTGAGTGTTGTGAGCTGGGCTAGGAAGGAGGCAGGAGGCCTGCATTTACCTCTGCAATATGCAGAAGACGGATATGCAGAGATTAATCTGCACTACAAGATTGAGATAGTATCTAATGTTTTGGGGCTGGAGCTTTAGCTCTGATGTGTACTTTTTCAAGCCCTAAGAAGTCATAGCCTCTATCTCAAGGCCTGATCCCAGCTGATAGTGTGGAGCATTGGCTTTTCATCCCATTCTCAATGAGACTCACACTAGAGAGCAGCAGGTGGGGGTTCTGGGGAAACACG